ATGCCCCTTGGCTTTTATCTCAAAAAAATTAAAACCAAACGAATCATACTAGTGCACATGAGGGCGGGAATTTCATGTTGCCTTACTCGTCACGAAACACTTTCGGCAATTTCTTAACGGCGTGAAATTCAGTGTATCTTCCGATCACAAACCCCCTTCTTTCCCCTCAGAGTCTAATTCTGTTAATTTTAATCCCTGAGTGATTCGCCTGTATCTCTAACTTCACCGCATGGTTTTCCTTTAATCTCAAAAATTGGCAGTTCTTTGGGCAGTTCCGCAATTCGTTGAGTTCTTGTTTTTTTGGATGAGTTATAAATAATTGCTAAATGATTTTTTTCTATTATCTTCTACATCTATACCTTCTAATTATTAATAATTTATATTTTCCCCGTAATGCCCCACCCGTATAACCCCTATTACCACTGCTCCGGTACTACAGAATGCTAAATGATTTTCACTTGTTCTTGCGAGCCCGTAATTGGACTGTTACCTGGTCTGAGAACGGACTCGATAACTCAGTCCTTCTCCGGACTGAATGTCTGGCCGTTATTCCCTCTTTATAAATTAGTATTTGTTCCAATGCCACCTTTATAAAATACGAGTCCTGCTTCCTGAATTTTGGTACATGTAGTGAGGACCAAGCTAAGTCTGGCACCTGTGGCCAAGAAGCTTAACTTCAAAGCTACCTTCGGTCGTTTTGGCATTTTTTGCCATCGCTGAGTAGTGAGATAGACAGGCGTGCGTTTTGGATGCTGCACAAGCCTGTCGCACTCAAAACGGATTCACATGCAAGGCACCATTTGTGTGCTTACGCTATAGGGCATCGGGTGGGCGTTCTCGCTTGTAGCGGTCTAACTGTCGGGCAAAAGTGGAGAATAATTATTTATGCAATCTTCGTTGCGTCCTAGTATGAAAAGATTATTTTTCTAGGTTGCGAAATCGATTAGACGGACAAGAAATACCAATTTTATTCGTGTACCGAGACCTGGAACTTTTGGACGAGTACACATTCAAGCTTTTGCGCTAACTACCATCTGTCAAAGTACACTAGAAGGGTGGATTGCCAGTTCCAACCGGTTCTTGACGCTAATACATATTCAAAGGTATGCAATAGAAGCATGCTTGATGCACCATTTTTGTGAATATTCGTTTTCAGTAAACCTGATACAATAAAAATGAATTATTTTGGTGGGTATTCTTTGATCGTCGAATTGGACGACGTTTAGCCCCCTGCTCCACAGCACTGTGCACGTAGTGGCGTTGACCTGCAAGTAAACCGGCCTATTGTGATAGTAGATGGGCATAGCAACTAAACGCACACTCTCCTTAACCAAACCAGGCCCAGTGTCATGATAGAGTGAAAAAGACCGGAAGCACGCATAAAAGCCGGTTTTCAACCAACAATACCTGAGAGCGGCTCGGATGTCAAACGAGTCAGAGAGAGAGCTATAAAGATAATATTGAGGAGGAGCCCGTGAAGCCTCCAGGTTCAAACTGAGAGAAAGACCTAGCAACCCCATCAATTGGTTGCCTCCCGAGCCACGGGTATCAGCAAACGGCCAACATCCGTAGGCGCAGATTACGTTTCAAAATAGGCAGAAATCCAGATGTCTACTTACTTCAGAAAAAATAATTTTCAGAAATACACAGCCAGCAGCTTAACACCTCAGCCGACTACCAGTTCCCCCTAATGCTGAG